ATTTGCCCTTAACCCCCCCCCCCTATAATGGCCTATACGTTGAGACTCCGTGCTAAAGGGCTACCCCCCAGGGGGGGGGACTCCCAAACATTACCTATACGGGTATAGGAAACAACTTATACAAACCCTATACGGGTACCGGAAACAACTTAGCCAATATATTGCGCTTAGAAGAAAGACGATTTGGAGAAAAAAAAGCAAGTAAAAACAAGAGTGCTTTGTAGAGTAAATTAAATGAGCGCCATACATCTTGATCTCGTACCCAGTAACACAATTTTCTTGACTTTGAGTTTAATCAACACCCACACCATTTTTTAACGCAGGCACTTGAAGTTTAAGAGTTATGTTACCCAAACTCTACTTTCAAAATATTCTAGGCAAAAAGTAAAACAAAAACAATCTCTACATACTTGTGCATGCACTGAAGACATACATTGTAGTACTTTTGAGTATTTCCTAGTTTGGTTTCTACCACATAATTATTCATTTTTTAGCCGTAAACTCCCTTAAAAATCTACACGAGAGCTGGGAAACTTATTATTGATGTTTTCACAATATCATGTACATTTAACAGAACTGCTGATTATTTTGTTTCATTCCGGGAGATATTCATGGCATCTTCCTAGTAGGACAGACCTTGCTCCATGTTTCAAGTCAAGGCGATGGCCAAAGAGACTGCAAACATAATTTCAGAGATGCTATAGGAGACGATATTTGTGCTCCTTCTCCTTTAAATGTTACGACAGTTCATTACTCTTAAAGCACTTTTAATTTAATTATTTTTTACTCTTAAAGCACTTTTAATTTTATTATTTTGGAATTTCAAAGAAACTTTCACAGTTGAGCAATGTCATTTCCTGGAACTAAAAACCTAGTATCAACGTATATAATTCAAACTGATGTCCATCCACTTCATACGATAACATTCGTGAGTACTGGCTAAAAAGACCAAGAAATTTTACCTTCAGCTACTGGTCATTAATAGCAATACCCTGAGGGGAATACTGATGATATCACTGATAGGGCTTAATATTATATAAGGATATAAGGCTCAAATTAATGTTGTACATTGCAATGCACAGATAGTATGAATGCTTAATCTTCAACTAAAAACATAACTATTGTCATTTTTATATTAATATAATTATCATAATAACAGTGTTACAGTGTGTATATGTTGTGGTTCAGTTTTATCCTTGGTTTCAATTTTATTTCTCTTTGTTTTTAACTCATTATCATACATCAACAAAAACCCAGAACAAAGGGAAATAAAATTGAACCACAACATAATATATTATTGAGTTATTGAAGGGGTGGGGCAATTTCCAGGGAAAGCATTCATTAGAGTATGCTTGCTTTTTTTGAGTACATACAGCATTATATTCTTTTGGTAATATTTTTTTCTTTCATTTCCAATGGAGGTAACCAGTGGTCATGCTCATAGCAGCCACAGGAAATCTATGGACCCTGGCCTGATATTCTAATCATCATCATCATCATTATAATTATTATTCATTCAAAATATTTCTCTGTTTCTGATTGGCTAAAATCCCACGTTTAATTCATCATAACTAGCTACTGTCGACCAAATTTGTGAGAATTTTGTGATATGTGAACTGATGATGTCAATCGTGCAGCAAAATTGCCAGATTATTGAACCCTTAACTGAGAAGACCTGGGGAGGAGGTTGAGTTGTTTTGGTAGTGATACAAAATGGCGGAACTCTTCACTCATTTCACGAGGATGAAATAGGCGAACTATTGGCTAAAAGAATTGGGAGAATATTTGCAGAAAAGAACAACCCTTTATCTCCTAAACTTGCCGATAAACATGCAATATGGAAGATGAACTTATCATCGATGGAGGTAAGCATGTTTTAGATCGTTTTCAAACTAGGAATTATTTTGAATGAATTATAAAACAATTATTGAATTCTGCTTACATATCATGTAAAAAATCATGAAGATCTCGGAGGGTGTTATCCACCTTCTCCATAATTCTTTAAAATGATACTCAGCCTCATTCAATAATTGTTAATTATTATTATTAGTTACACAATCAAATAAGGCAAAATCTGGCCACGGCCAAAAAGTACCCTTCTATCAATGTGTGGCACTAAAGAATAGTCTTCTGACTGTACCTTTCTCTAATTAACACCCACTATCTAATAGAGGCCTCCTATGAGAATTACTCCAAAATACCAGGAATTAGGAAAAAGGAGTCAAATAATTCAGTTTCTTGCTTGAAAAGGCTTTGCGTATTTCATCTTGCTCAATGTCAAGTTCAAAGTAAGGATAGACTGATGATGGCAACACAATAACCCTGAGCAAGGATTCTGACATTGACGTTAGAATTAAAAAGAGCGGCATGGATCTCTACATGTAGATGGCCTAGACATATTAATTGATGGAGTGGATATTCCACTGTTTCTAAACTTGATATTTTCGCCGAAAGTATATTACTTTTGTTGAGCTTGTTAAAGTTATGAGAATACAATGCCTCTCTTTTTAAATTAAACGCCTCCTATCTATTAAATGCCCCCACTTGGACTCCGGAATTAAATAGACGCCCTAAGTGTTTATTAGGTCATTATTGTGGATTAGTTTGGCTCTGTAGTACAGTAGTGTATGAACTTAATAACCCCTTATCTTGGCCACTTAGTGTCTTTCCGGTCAAAAAGTGTCATGTCTTCTTCTTCCTCTTCTTCTTCTGTAGCTTTGTCTAGAGGCTGCAATTCCGCTGAACCGGTTCCATGAATAACACCATACCTAACAGAAAGTAATAATAAATAATCAGTTTTTGTTAATAGATGTCTCTTTAATAGTAACTAATATTTATTTAGTCGTTTTCCTTATGTATTTTTTTGCTTTCTTTTATTCATTCTATTGCTATGTAATTTGCTGCACATCTGTTTGCGCAATGAATTATTAATAAAGACCTTCATCATTATTATTATTATTACAATCACAGATTCACGCTTATGTGATAGCACACCACAAAGCAATTCACCTTGGTTCCTATTCAAGATCTAGGGGATTATGCTTGAAAATCAAGTATTACCAGTGAAACTATTTGGTATTAAGCCCAGCTGAAGGTGTTATACTCCTAATTCGCCTCATGTAAGGGAATCCAGATTCCAGAATCTGGGTAATTTTTGGTTGCAAAATCAGAATCCTGGACATCGGAATCTGAAATACAGCTCAAGGAATCCAGAATCCAAGTTCCACTTACAAAGACTGGAATCCAGTACCTAGTAGAGTTGACTCCCTTTATTATGGACACCGTTGGGATTTTGAGTTAGTGTCCTCATTAGCGAGAGTCCGTAATAGCAGGATTTTATTTCAGTCAAACGTCTTTAATTTGTTTTTGCCAGGTATTTAGCTACTGTCCATTTTATTGTGGTGTCCATCATAGCGTGGTGTCAACAACGCAAGAGTTGACTGTATCTGCCTAATGACACTGGACGTTTTTCCTTCTCCTACTACATGTATCAAAATAAAACATTAAAAGTCCTACATAGTCTTTGATAATTGATTTTGAAAGGAAATGTTAGCACCTTGCAGGCCTGACTTAGTAAGGTAAATGACACCCTATGTCACTTATCTATGTAGTATTGGCTGGAAAAATTAAAACACATTTTTCAGAAAAGCAATACACCATCTGATTATCAAAATGAATAAAAAAACTAAATAAAATAAGAGTAATGATGCTGGTATTATGCTAAAATGGCTCCAGATATGTTACGCTAAAATACAGACCTGTGTATATTAAGGTTAAATTGGCTTAAATTTCATTTTGAAAAATGTTTCAGACTCATTACTGCACATTACCATACCCTAATCAAAAGTAAGTAAAAATCACACAAAGGATATATATGGAACCAAAACAATTATTTACAAGTACAAACTGATATTTTCTTAAATTCTGTCAAAAAACAGTGCAGCTTCCAGTGAATATCACACTAAAAAAACATGTGACTAACAAATTTCTGTGAGCTTTGTTCTAAAATGAATAAGACATACTTTTTGGCTTTTCTTCTCCCTCTTGTTTTAACCGCACGCACAATAAAGTAGATTACAACAAGTGCACTGATTCCAACAGCCTAAAAAGAACCATAAAAATAGTTAGTACACTGGACAAAACTGTTCTGGATTGACATTTTACCATACAAAAATAAAACAAGCCAAAGAACCTCAATTTTATATTTTTCTCTTTTGAACTTTATGCCATTACACACGCGGAGAAATGTTTTCATGTTGATCAAGCAAGGGGGACTTGTGTTACAGCATATCCAAACTTAGTAATGAAATCACAAAGGTATGCAAAATCAACGTCAATATTGTAGTTAATTTTTTATCTCTGGTAATTTTTATTTTCCTTTGTTTCAACTTCGTTAGCATAAATTACCATACCCAAAAACAAAAGAAAAACAAAAATTACCTGAGTTAAAAAATTAACTACAACATCAATCCAGAACAGTTTTGTCTAGCGTACTATGTACTATAAGTGATAACATTCATGATTGTATGTTGTTCTTATTCAGGTGGGCACACACATTCTTACAATAAGGAACTTACACAAACGTATTTTCTAGCAACTTGATGCCAATTAAAGATAAGGCCTTTTCCCTTTTAATACTCTATATGTATCAACTCTAATTAATGCTAGCAAAATTCTTATTTCTAGTGAGAGTCTTTTCTCTTACAGAGACAATTTGCTTGAGAATTTGGGAAAACTGCATGTACTACCCAAGAATGCTAGAAGTCTATGTCCAGTTAATGTGCATCACTCAAGAACCCCTTTGCCTAAGGTCTGGAAAAGAATTTTGGGAAGCAGGGATGGTGTAGTGGTGAGAGCAATTGCCTTCCGCCTTCTTCACACAGAAACGCTATGAAGTTGATTTTATCTGGGAGATTGGTGGCATGTTCAGGAGACACCTGCATAATCCGGGAGAGTTCACATAAAAGTGTCTACTTCAGTAACCCACTCAAGGTGGTGGTTGTTTTTTAAAAAAAACTAGATGGAGAAACCACCCTTGAATGGATGCAAATCCTTTCCAAGACAAATGAAGAAAGACCCAGTTTTAATAAATTGGAATAAACAAGTAGCATTACATGTACTGTATAAGGTGACTGTGCTCTCTGTGGATGATTATAAAAATACTTTGTGACAAGAATAAGTTTTAAATTTTGATCAACAGAGGTTAAAAGAAAGCTAGAGAAAGAGGGAAAGGGCCAGATATTTAAAACGGAGTTTAGTCCATGTTCAACAAAACCACATTCAAAGCCATTTTCAGTTTGCCCAGCTAATGCTTTTATCTGAACACCAATGTTTAGGATGAATAATTGCATTAATGCATATAGGAATAGACTGGAAAGCACTTATTTCCTTAAATTAACCCAAGAAAAAACAGATCTATAGGCAGTGTTCTTGGCAATTGAGCTCTGTGGGCAATTTGAAATTTTCACTCCCTCACTTAACCCATTTTCCGCCAAAAGAAGATGGCTCAGACTTCAAAGCTGCCGGCACTTAATAAGAACCCACTGTGGAGATCCAATGATTTCTTAAACCATGGCCGAAGTTAGACTTTGTTTAAATAAGAGACCCAAAGGGTTTTGTTAATTCACTTACCACATACAATGATCTTTGCAACAGACCATGTGTGTCTGGCTGTTTCACAGATTCTACACTCTCAGAGGTTGGTGTAGATGATGTAACTGTTTCATTAAAAGATTCATTGCCGCTGGGTTTGTTTGTGGTTGGTGGTTGGGTTGGTGTCATTGTAGCATTTACTTTGCTAGTTGGTTGAGTGACATTTTGGTCAGATGCTGCACCTGCATAAGGAAGAATATGCATGTGTAACGTCCAAAACAACTATGCAAAGTTCTCATATTTCCAAACCGATAAGGATTAATCTTGTAATTTTTTTCCTTTTTACTTGTGATACATGTAGTGAAGAAACAAGACAGTATTGTGGGCACTTAGGCATTCATATGTTTCACTTGTTCACTCACACTTGCTGGCCCAGAACTCGAGAGAGTCCACTGCCTAATATGAAAACGACATATAATATGATATTTTTATGATATTCCTGTTCCTGCTGAAATGTGCTGTGATCAAAAGTCTCTTTTGGCATGCACTCACTTCCACACCACTGATGTACACAGGCCAAACTGGGTGTCTTGAAAACAAAGACCCCCCAAGACCCCCCACCAACGACTCTGAACTTCTGAACTTTATTGATTAGGCAGTGTGCAAAGAAAGTAGTGTCAGATAGCCTGAGGCTAGTGGATTTTGCTATCTGGCTAGTGAATTCTGTTTTTAACTTGCACGACTGGCGAGAGTGATGATTTTTAAGGAATTTGAATAACAGAAGAACTGTGAAATCAATTCTGCTCGTCAAAAAGTTTTTGGGGCTAGTTGAAATGACGTCTGGGCTAGTAAATGCTAGCTTCAGCTTGCCTGAATGGCAAGCTGTAAACACCCTGTTCGGGTTAGGAAACTGACTGAATCAAGTTCCATTCAAGTCATTATACTGGACAAACTGACCTGATAGTTGATTAACCTTAATCAATAAAGTTTAGAGCCATTCGGTGGAGGGTCTTAGGGGGTCCTTTTTTTCAAGACACCCGGCCAAACTGGGAAAATCTCCCTATGGATACTACGAAAATGCTGTCTTGAGGTATTAATTCCTGAGAGAGAAAAAGGGAGATACTGTGTCGTATTTTTGAAGTCTGGGACGAGTCACTGAACATGAGGAGCATTGAACCAAACAAAATGGCGGAGGCAATTGGAGGCCGGCAGCGACTACACAAGTTAGCTAAGTTATCGGTCTTTTTCGAAGTACACAGGTCCTCCTTTCATCACCACAGTGAAGGAGGCAACAATAACAAAAAACAAAACAAAACAAACGGTAAGCCAAATCTCTAATTGTCATTTTTATTATTGTCTTTATGGGAGGCTCATAAAGGGGGGGTCCGCAGACCGGTCCGTACAGTGGTCCGTGGACCAGGTCCATAGGGGGATCCATGGACTGGGGGGCAGTGTTTTTGGGTCACCCGAGGTTTTAAATTCAGGACAAAAAAAAACAAAACAAAACAAAACAAAATACTTTTCAAGTTTTTGTTCTACAGAGGCTATCAACTCCAAAAAAAGATATTACTCTCAGCTTGAACAGGTGATAACAATCTCAAACATTCACCTTTTAGTAACTTTTCTAAAGATAACGAAAGGATTTTCAATGACAAATTTATCACAGACTTAAAACATAAATTCAAAAGTAATCTTTACTCCCAACACTGATCATAATTCTTCAAAGCTACAGGTATTTTTTGAATGTACATCTGGACATCAGATCCACATCAGTACATGTACTTTATGTTCTATTTCCGATCATTTCCATTTTTAAAAACAGGTAACAGGTAACAGTTTACAAAAATGATCTAAACAGGCTTATGAATGATGTGAAAACGATGCCCACGGCTCTTCACTGGCAAGACCATGGATGATCACATATCAGTAATGACGGTTTAACATTCAGTTCAGTATAACAAACGGACCAATTGAACAACAACTAAGCAAGGAAAATCTTTAAATATCAAAATATAGATTTACCTTAAGCAAAGAATAACAAAAGACAAGTATTTACGGCCATACGCTTTATATTACAAATGCTGACGACGTATTTTAACATACAAAAGTTTACAGCTTATTTCGTATGCTACACGTACACCCTGTGTCGCTTAGAATGAACAATTCAAGCTTCATGATCAGTATTAAGGTTTTTTATTTTTATAAAAGTTTAAAATATGTTTGACGTGTCACGCCTGTTTATTATTTTTAAGATTTCTTACCTTTTCAGTTTTTTTTATAATCACAAAGTGGTTGCAAGAAGAGCGCGCGGGCAAGTACACGCTAAACATCTGTTATAAATAAAACAGTGCACCAAAGGAAGTGATAATATTCAATACGCACCTTGAAAAAGTACAACTGATGTAAAAACCATCAAGATAGCCACCCGTTTCACGCAAGTATCCATATTATTGCAGTTTCAGGCACCAGTTTGTCAACCGTTACGCTTGCTCGTTGTTTTTTCCAAGTCACACGACATTACAAAAGACCTAAAATTATTCCGAAACATGCAAATGCACAACAAGAGGGAAGGGTGCTTTGTAACCGCGCCTACAACGCCCTGGGCTGGCAAAGAATTGTGGTACAAGCAATGCGGAAAAGCGGAAGTACTTGCCGGAAGAGCCCCCAAAAGGGATAGTTTCCTGCAATATCAGGTGANCAGGCACCAGTTTGTCAACCGTTACGCTTGCTCGTTGTTTTTTCCAAGTCACACGACATTACAAAAGACCTAAAATTATTCCGAAACATGCAAATGCACAACAAGAGGGAAGGGTGCTTTGTAACCGCGCCTACAACGCCCTGGGCTGGCAAAGAATTGTGGTACAAGCAATGCGGAAAAGCGGAAGTACTTGCCGGAAGAGCCCCCAAAAGGGATAGTTTCCTGCAATATCAGGTGACAGGAACTATATGTTTTCCTGGTTTACGCGTCACGTAGCCTATTCGCTTCGTTTGACGACGACAGCCTCCAGGCTTTCAAAAGGGAAAGGGAACAAGATTATCTACATTTCAGGAGACAGCATTTTTTTCTCAGCGGCACCTTTATCGGCTTACACTCCTTGAGTTTTCTTCACTAGATATACCCCTTTCGGTTTCTCTAGTCTGTATGACGGGCTTCGTTTCTTTTCAGGACAGAAGGAATTTTTTATATCCTTGTATGGCCAAGAAATGGATAGGACTGGGATAGAGTCATAGAAATACGGCAGCACGCCTTATCTTGTTCTCCGAGATCGCCCGCACCAGATGCTTCCTATATAGCCCCCCCCCCCGGGGGGGGGTACTCCCATATATGGGCTATATAGGTACGTGCCGCGGAATAGGGTATGGTTTTTGAGGTTCTAGGTCCTTAAATAGGGTATCTTTTTTTACCCTTTTGTTTCTGTGTCCCTGGTGTGGTCCTTAGATAGTTTCATGCTATTAATAATTTTGTTTTTTCCTTGAATAAGGTGTCATTTTTCGGCTTTGGGCCTTAAAAAGGGTACCAGTTTTCGCTTTCTTAGCCCTTAAATAGGGTTAGGGTTCTCGAACCTCGAGGGGGGAGCCTTGAATATTAAACTTCCGCGTTTGCAAGCTTAGTACTTCCTTCCAGGATATAACGAGTTTGTTTTAAGGAAAAAGGCAAAAAAGGAAAAACTTAGAAGAAAGCTATCTCAATGACTAAGAAACGGCATATGGTTAGTTTTTTTTTTCAATATAATGTGGCAATATGCTAAGTAGCGGGAAGGGTCTCCAAAAAAAATTTAATGCCTAAAATTTTCACGAAAAACTTTTTCCTGTCCTCTTTAAAGCGTTGTATGTTCAGTTAGAATTACCAAGCGATCAGGAAAACAAGAGTGGCTTAGCAGCTGAGCGGTTGTTGTTTCTTGGGCATTGAGTAAATATAAGTCACTCGGGTACGCTCGGCCCCGAGGTCCAACCCCTTACCCTTTTAAATACCATTTTTGACAGAAAAAGTATCCCCAAGAACGCCTGATGTTCCGTCCTAGCGTCCCACACAGGCGTTCTTAGGGGAGTTGTCAGTTTCTGCAACCCATCCCTCCCCAGTTCCCACAAAACGCGGTGAGGGAGAGCTGAAATACGAATTCCCTAAAAACGCCTGCTTGGGAGCCTGTACTGCTTCTCAGTCACAGAGATCTAAAATTATTAAAATTATTCCTTTACATGGTTTTGGAATGCTTAACCTTGTCCCCAGGGTCTTTTAGTTTTCTAGTATGCCTGTTGCCGAGAGGCCCCTGGGAACGAGGGTTGGGGAATACTTTGTAACCACTCGTACAGTGTCATGAACTTCTTACCGGAAGGCCTTCCGCGTTTGCAAGCCACGTAGAGTATATTTTATACTCTTTACCTTTGATTCCTGAGCAATTCGCGGAATTCTGGAGACCTGGTCCTGTCAATCTACAAAGGTAAGAGAGAAAAAAGGGAAAAAAAAAACACCAACGGAATTCTGTCTCCCATTTTTTGTCGTGCTTTTATAGTAACTAGGCTAAGACAAAGAAAAGAAAGTGAAATAGACTGCGAGCTTACGAAGCAGTTTCTAAATATGGACCAATGTGATACAAGCTAAGGACGACTTGTTTTTTACTCACCAAAAAATGCACGAATGATAATTTGGTGTACAAGAGAAAAAAAATGCTTAGATCATTTGTCCACGCATCGTCCCCTCTACTAACTATGGTCTCACGGAAGCTTGGCTGGAAATCAATACGGAAAGAAAGATTTTTCATAAATGTTTCCCCTTTATGAAAGGCTTTAGTCCTCTTTCATATTTAGAATTTCTTTCTTGAAATCCTGAGAAAGATAATCATAACACTAAAGAATACAGCAATATAAATGCATATAAACGGAAAGCAAAACCGGAAGTTAAGATTACTGAGAATTGGCAAAAGGAAGTCGAAGGGCTTATACTATTGAAATGACCAACGACTATGAAATGTAGCTATCTATCAAATTTGTTAAGCAATCTGCTGCTAAGAAGTGAGTGAATGATCCTTGTCCCAGTCGCCGTTACATTCATCCTCTTCACTCGTCAAAAACTCCATTCCATATCCTCAATTTCTGAGAGTAAAAGCTGTGGACTCTTTAATAACGGTGGGAAAATGCTAAGAGTTGGGTGCAAGGGATTTACAAGGAAAAACTCTAGAGGCAAACTTTGCGGTGGGGAGGGCAGGGAGATTGAGAAAAGTTTTCGCGTGGAAACATTGGTTACGAATGCAAAATAAATATTCATAAAAATGGATAGGCAAAATACCAAATTGGTACGGGGAGGCTACTCCTTTTGATGTCGCTGGGGCTTTCTTCAGTTCCCGGTTATTGATTGTAGTTCCGCTTTTGAATTCCTTGCTTTTTATAAATTATTGACCAATTTTGAAAATTTCTGTTTCTACTAACAGCGACGTGAAGCCATGCCGCTGGAAACGCTCTCTCTCAAATGTCCTTGTGGCTATATCAAACATGACGTTATGTGCTTGGTAGAATGGCAGAATTACGGACAACGGATTCTCAAGTTCTGTGGCAGGCTTTTTACCTTGGATTTAAATGGCGACGGCGTCACGTGCCGTAAATGTAACAAGAAGAGTAATGTAATCGAGTTTCATTGTTCTTTCTACGACAGGACAACCGATATTGGCGTGGAGTACCGAGTGAAGAAGCACACCGGACGAGCCGTCTCTATGCAGATGTCAGTGCATAAAACTGTTGTATTTTTCAACTAACTTCGTGAACGCGATATTATATTGTGCATTCTTAGACACCTCTAGATTAGATTAGATATAGGTCAAGTAACTTCAACAGAGCAATGTACTGCGGAATGTTGTGTATTACTTCCTCACGGAGGTCGTGGTTTGATTAAAACAAAAGACAAAACGGAAACTTGAGAAGAGATCAAGGAATGTTTGATGTGTTGTTAACAGATTTCGTCTCCCATTAAAATCTTTTTTCAACCTCGTCCCCAGGGCTTTTCCCTTAAAAAATGGATGGGGCGCGACAGCGCCCGCCCCACCCATTTTTTAAGGGAAAAGCCCTGGGGACGAGGTTGATCTTTTTTCTGATACACACCAATACTACGGAATAGAGGTTACAAAATGTAAGTAAAATGCTTGCTGCGAGTATAGATACTGGGGAGTGGTACATCACTACTTATGAATCTATTATAGAATCAATGAGAAAAATGGGTTCCTTTTTTAAGTTGGAGTTGTAATTTCCAGATTATGATGACAAATATGCAAATTATTTTTGCGTAACCAATTAGCATCATTTTTAATTTGAGTCATTTCCACAATGTATGCACCCCTCTCCCCCAATGCCCCTGCCAAAATAATGTAACATGACACGTTTATGAAACGTGACTTGGCCAACTGTTGGTCTAAAAATATTGATTTACAACAGTAATTTTCTGTTTCTTTATATATAAGACTGGCAAACCAAATTATGTTTTAGTTAGGGTTCATCGTAGCATCTTTTAAAGAAGACATTGCAAAAGTGTTGTACTCTAGCTCTGAATACATTTACATCATTTAATGGCTGCCTTCACGGAAAAAAGTCACTGTGATCGCAAGGATTGAGAGAAGAACGCATATATAAAGTGCCCAGGCCCAACTCGGAAATCACAAATAGTGTTGCAATAACAAGTAATTAGTTATCCCCGAAGCATTCGATAGTTGCAACAGTTCCAAACAAAGAATGAGCGTTTCTATTCAAGCCTTCAGGTTAGGTCTTCGGATGGAAGACTCGGCTTCGAGTCCTTCGGTGATATCTGCAAATCTCTTTTCTCCCAACAGCAATTTCACTGATCTATCTGCCGAAAAAAACAGTCACTGATGGTGGAAAGGACAAACCCCTAGCGAGGCATGCGCCTTGTATGAAAAAATCGACCACTGGATCCAGAGGAGTTCACTTTGCCGTGCGAACTGTTTAAAACCCGGGGAAAACTTCAACAACGATTTGTTTCGATCGCGTTATCCTTACATTTTCGATACATTTTCGTTCCGCAAAATATGTACCACGGCACTAAGGATATGCACAGACATCCCAAGATAGGCTCTATATTGATTAACAAGAAACAGAAAAAAATTAATAATAGGTCTTTCTTTAACTCCGCACTTCGTACCTCGTTGGAGAGCGTCGCTTGCCGCAAAGGGCCTAGACTTTCAAAAAAGTCCTTCGTCGGATTTCATATGGCGCGACCTCTCGCGACTTCGTCGCTCGCGGCCAAACAAGGCTCGCCCCGCTCGCCAAGTCTACAAAGAGCCCTACCGCACAAACAGCTGAAACAGTGGGACAACCAGTGTTCAAACCAGACTTGCGACACCTTGGCGCGGATCGGTCACGTTTATTTGCACAGTCATACCGCGACTGAGAAAACTGAAATCGGGGTCAAACAAAGAAGCACTAATGTGGACGGGATCTTGCCCAGTTCCTGTACGGCGTCTCAGGCCTCAATATATTTCAGTGACGTATCCGAAACAAATTCACATGGAACACTTGACCCACAACGCATATGCCGCGCGAAATAATGGGGACTAGATACAAAGGCAAGACAAAAGGGGTTCTATTAGAGAG